ACCCCAATTTTTGTTTTAAGTAGTAGTCAATCATCACATTGACTCATCCCATGGATGATATGGTGTCCCAGAAGGAGCTACCCTGGAAGGCAGAAGACTGGATTCTGCTACTGGCCAACAGTAACAATTTAGGCCAGACCCCTTCAATTCAGTGACCCTCAGTTTATTCACCAGTAAAACAAGTAAGAGTAGATAATCTACATGACTCTACATTTTGTAACTCTATAAATTATGAGCATTTTATTTTAACCAATTTAGATTTGTCTTTGAGATTATTATTAAATAAAAGTAACAGCAGCACACATGGAAGAATCACACTGAAGAGCTCCCCAGGAACATTCTTATGTCTTTGTATGGTCTCATTTTCACATGCAACGAGGAGCCCCCCCCCCAAAAAAAAAATGTATCTGAAAACAATCCAAGTAATATCCAAGTAATATTTTTACCACACAAGCTTACAAGCTTCTGGGGTAGGAAAAAATGGTAGAACAGTAAAAATGTTCATGGAAAACCACCACCACAATAATACCAAAATAAAAAACAGATGCTCTACATACAGTTATTGCTACATGACAGAAGCTTTCACAGCTTTTCAATACTCCTAAGGAGTCCTGATAGAAAACCAATGTTTTCTTTGTTTTTGTTTTTTTTTAGGGGTACCTAACACAAGATTTGATACTCTTTATTAAATTGCTATTTACTAAGATAGAATTCTCAGACTTTTTTGAGCAGCAATACTGGCATGGCTTCAAACCAGGTGCACTGAGAAACTCAAAGGAATGTGAGACCTTCGCTCTCCAGAGATCCTCACAATTTAGTTGGGGGAAAATAGGCCATAAGTACCAGGGAAATTAAACAGCCATAAAATAAAAATACTAAATCAATAATACAGTTAAAGGGACAGGGCAGCATGACAGGAGATGCCAAGTCACCTCGAGCTGGACTGATCAGGAGAAGAAGCTGGGCTTAAAGTCAGAGGAGGCTGGAATGGGCAGCTCTAGACCTGACTGTCAAGGAGTATGAGGCTGTGGGGTTGCATGGCTCCTAGGAGGAAACAGAATAATAATATTCTATCTAAATGTACTTTTGCAACATTAAACCTGAAAAGGACAAAGTATCAATCTACAGACTGAGTTCTTTGTGCATGTAACTGATCTGGTCAACTTTATACTTTTATAGAATTTAGTGACATGCCGTAAACACAAGGCATGCCACACTGGTTGAACAAGTGAATGAACTACACACCAACAGATAAGTCCAGACATAATAAACTCTGACAACCTTTGTACCGTATTCCAGTAAAATCCAGTCTCTGAAGTAAATGAACACAAGGAAGTAACCCGCTAAGTATTTGAGATCTCTACCATTCTCAGGCATCAGTTAAGAATTTGAAATTGCAATTAAGACAGGTCACAAAATACGGTTAACACTGAACAGGGCTTCCCTGGTGGCGCAGTGGTTGAGAGTCTGCCTGCTAATGCACGGGACACGGGTTCGAGCCCTGGTCTGGGAGGATCCCACATGCTGCGGAGCAACTGGGCCTGTGCGCCACAACTGCTGAGCCTGCGCGTCTGGAGCCTGTGCTCCGCAACAAGAGAGGCCGCGATAGTGAGAGGCCCGCGCACCGCAATGAAGAGTGTCCCCCGCTTGCCACAACTAGAGGAAGCTCTCACACAGAAACGAAGACCCAACACAGTAAAAATTAATTAATTAATAAACTCCTACCCCCAACATCTTCTTAAAAAAAAAAAATAAGAAAAGAAAAAACATAAAAAAAAAAAAACTGAACAACAAAACAAACACAAAAAACCTGAGTAAAAAATAGCCTGACATTTACCTACATCAATCCCTGGCATATTGAAAGGCCTCTGCTTTTCTCCTGCAGATAACAATGGCAAGACAATCTCCCACTTCACAAAATTTACAAAAAAACAAACCAAAAAAAGCTTAAAAATAACTTGACTAATCCAAATATGCTTGGCCTTGGAACAAATTTTACTCAAATTCAAAGCAAGATAGTTAATTTTGAGCATTCTGTGTTTTAAAAAATTATGTGGGCAGGGCAAATTCTTAAGTTTTACTATATGATTAAATCCAACAAGACACCCAGTTAAAAATATTTATTTCTGGGCTTCCCTGGTGGCACGGTGGTTAAGAATCTGCCTGCCAATGCAGGCAACACGGGTTCGAGCCCTGATCCAGGAAGATCCCACATGCCGCGGAGCAACTAAGCCCGTGTGCCACAACTACTGAGCCTGCGCTCTAGAGCACGCAAGCCACAGCTACTGAGCCCGTGAGCCACAACTAATGAAGCCCGTGTGCCTAGAGCCCGTGCTCCACAACAACAGCAGCCACCGCCATGAGAAGCCCGCGCACCGCAACGAAGAGTAGCCCCCGCAGTCTTCCCTGGTGGCGCAGTGGTTGAGAGTCCGCCTGCCGATGCAGGGGACACGGGTTCGTGCCCGGGTCAAGAAAGA